CTTCCTGATATCTGAGGCAGGAAACATAGCCTTATTATGGTTTTTTTGGAGTGGTAATTATGCTAATGTGCACGAGCAGCTGGATACGAACAGGTGGAATTTACGCAGCTCATTTACACACTTTTCCTGAAGATAGAAGAGTTTGTTGAATCTGACGTGACATGTTTGTACGAACCCTTTGTACGAACAAAAGTAAGAGAAATTTAGGATAAGAATACGAACATGTTCTTGCATGAGGCCCAATGTCTTTATATTGTTACAGACAGTTGGTTGTGGCGGCCATCTTGAAATGGATTAAATCCAAACGTTAATCAGGTGTAGACATACACTCAAACAGCTGTGTACAGATGGAGACATTCCATTGACTCCCATTAATTTCTACAGCCTAACCCTGACCCCCTACCCTAAACTTAACCCCCATCCCACCAATGGCATTTAAACCAAACAGAGACTCAGCTTAGGTCCCCATATGTAGGTGTTTTATCTTAAAATGGTCCTCGTGTGACAAAATACCTTTCCATACACACTCCTACAGGCTAAAACTCTGATGTTTGTCTTTCAGCAGAGGATGCTTTAACAAGTCTGCTGCAGTAACTAGAATGTATTCCAGTGAAGCGTTGACTCATGCTGATAATCTGGCCTGTTGTTTGTTTTCTATGTGAAGCAGATCAGAACCATAAGATCCAAACCTTTKACTGTCACATAGACGCCCTCCTGAGTGGACAGCTGGGGCTGCACCAACACGTGACACTTGTACTCTCCTTCATCCACATCCTTCTGCACGTCGAACAGTTTCAGGGTGCCGTTGTTCTCAAAGGCCCGCTGGCGGTGGTTGTATGGCAGCAGATTGTCYTCCTTGTACCACTTGATGGAATAGTAGGGGTATCCAATGACACGGCAGTGGATGTACATGTCCCGCCCAGCAATGGCAGTGAGGTTTTTCATTGGTCTGATGCTGGCAGGCCCTTGAGGACACATCAGAGAAACAACTTTCTTAAAATAATTTTGAGGTGGTGTTGGGCTGTAAGGCAGCTGTGCCGTGTTGTGTGTCCTGTCCGTGCCTCTGGTCATTCTGACAGCACAAATGTTTTTATGACTTGTTGAGGGCTTTTCAGAATGCCTGATTAAGTTTTCATGAAGACTTAAAAAATCATTAAAACTGTTAAACACATATTTTTACATTTCAAATGCAGTTCTATTAAATTGGCCTTTTGTTGGACTTTATAGAAGCAGATGCTTAGGACTGTAGCAGGGCTGCACTGATACTAGTATCAGGTGTCTCTCTGTATACTGTATGAGTATACTCGTATAGGCTGAAATGATTCCTTGAACAATTTGAGTAATTCGATTACTAAATACCCTTGAGGCAAATTATCTGCCTCGAAGCTTCGTAAAAAATAGGTACTGTTAAAATCAGTGCACTTATGCTGGATGGAATGTTATTTGAGTTACACAATGCTACGACGTTAGCGCTTCCGCTAGCGGTTACACTGTTGACGCGTGTATACTAACTGCTATTTTTAGCAATGGAAGGAGATGAAGAGTCCCAAAARGAGGAGCTCAGAAAACAACAGAAATTGTGAAAAGTGTGGGGTAATTTAAAACGAAACAGAAAAGACGACAAAGCGCAATGCGCTTGKAGGTCCTCSATGTTTCTGCACCGGAACAAAAACAGCTGATGTACMGAACGAGTCCAGAGTTAACAACAGGTGTTGTTCACGTTCCCTCMCTGACTAATCATAGTGACTACCTGYCAGAGTGTTATTTAACAGTGTGGAAGTTCTGTGATCAAAAACAACCCTTGAGTGTGCAGCAACAGATTGAAAGCATGAYCTGAAACACATTTATCTGTTGAAGCTTCTGTRTTAACTTAAATGAGACACCTGGAGTGAATATTTCAATTTTAAATGTATTTATAGAAAACAATAAGATTTGTTTCCTTTATACAGCTACTTTTTATGACTTTGAAACCTGTCATTAGCCTTCATTACCTCCGCCAAGTGCGAGGWAATGTTTTCGGTCGCGTATGTCTGTCTGTCATTCTGTCTGTGGACAACATTACTCAAAAACTTGTGGACAGATTGTCATGACATTTTTATCACATGTGGGTACTGAGCCAAGGAACACARCTTTAACTTTTGGTGATGTTCCGGATCACGATGCGGGTACAGGAATTTTTTTCTTTTAACACTCTGACATCGGCAAAGCTGTGATGCTTTTACAGGGCATGGGTTTCAAAGTGTCCAGCTGGTGGCACTGTAGTATTGGTATGCCCCTTTGTAACTCTATTACAGAATGAGGGAAATTGGTCTTGGCGGAGGTTAGCACTCTCTGAGTGCTTCTAGTTTATTACTGCTGTCATATTAGTCTATAGTTAAAAAGACAAAAAAAAAATTAATTGCCTGAAATGGGAACCCTGCTCCAACCTAATAACAGTCTTAATAAAAATACGAATTTACTTTTACTGTTAACAATAACATTTAAACTCTACAAAGCTCAATGTGCAACTCCCAAATTTTTATATTACACATTTTACCCTTGATCTTCATTTGATCTTTAACATAAAATATCACATTCGCTTTTCCAATCCATAAAAATTAATTACTATAACTTAGCTTTTTCAGTGATGGTTAAAAATGARTTAATGTCAGAGTGCTTTWACGTAATGCCTCCACAAGCCTCACACACATAAACGCAAACAAGTGGAGCTTAAAATTCATGCATACAACTGGTATTGTAATTGCTTTGATTACAGCAGGATCACCAGCAAGTTTAGGCTACCCCTTCACAATTGTGTTTCTCAGAAAATAAGRTTAAATAATGACTGCAGAAGATGACAATAATCAATAGATTAATTGATTACTAAAATAATTGTTAGCTGCAGCCCTAGTACTTATAAAAGTATTCTGACACTACAGTATCTGACACAACTTTGGGTTTTTTGAGCACTCAGGTGGTAGCAGCATGAAGATTAATATATTCTCATATGTGTCCTGATCTACACTCCTATTGGTGGTGATGAACCACAGAGTTGTTGCCAGCCACTAAAAAAACACCAGAAGAAGAAAAAGAAGCCACGTGAAGATATTGGTGACAAAAAGTAAAGTGGACTGAAAATTCTGCTCAGCTAAACTGTCAAAAGAAGGGGAAAAAAATCTCGTGATCTCAACACGAGCAATGGGACAGAAGGTCTGAAAACCAGCCCCATGCTAAGTGCAAAGAGTTTGCTAATAGCAGTGGTTAGCGAGGCTCTTTTTGTACACAGGATGTGAGTGTGATGCTGTGGCACTGGCATGGAAAACAACCGAACATTTTAAACATCAATTATCAAATGAAACAACTCTGACAGGTCGTGCAGTCTCTCCACCAGCCACGCCCTAGACTCTGGGATTATACAGATCTAAGAAGGAGCATCCTCAATCTTACTGCTCACCAATGGGCTCTTTTGTCAACAACCATGGCTGACCTGGGTTTGTTTGAGGAGTTAACACAAAAAATAAGCTCTAATGATTTTATAAAAGTTTGTGTACTGAATGTAGCAGCATTTATTATTTCTTGAATCCATATTTTCTGTTGGCAAGTACTCAAATGTAAGTYCTTATACTGGCTTTGAATGTACTGRAATGATCGGGTCCTCAATTTTGCTTTATTTGTCAATAAAAGCTTTTGCTTTCTCTGACAGGAAGAGTGAATGCTTGAATGCTTCTCCTCTCTGTTTATAAATCTATTTTAAGTAATTCAACATTTTGTTCACACATGGTGTGAAAAATACAATCATCAAACTAGAGAATTTGCATTTCCGGAGAAAATGCTAGTGTGAATGCCTCTTACTGATAACTTTAGCTGAAGCACAGCTAAGAAACAAATTGATGATGTCACTGAGGATGTCACTGATGCGACTAATGATGTCACTTATGTGACTGATGATGTCACTGACGACATCATCATCATCCGAATTCTAAAAATTGAAATTGCTAAAAAAACTTTAAAAATTTAAGACACCAAAAGTCATAGCCGCAATGTCCTGACGGAGCGGAACATTTTGATATATGAATGGTTTAAATAAAACAAAAATTGTAGAAGGAGAAGCCGTCCAAAAAAATGTACCCATTCAAAGTCAATGGGAAAAAAAAC